CATGGTTTTCAGCCCCAACTTCCCGCTGCCCGCGGGCTCGGCGCCCAAGGAGACGCCGCAGGATCCCAGCGCTCTCCTGGACACGGTCAGTGGCCCTTTCTTTTCTCTGCCTTTCCCTTCCCCGTCTTTCACCTTCCCTGAGGCTCCTTTCCTGCTCATGCCTCTACCTTTCGTGGTGTCTTCTTGATCCAGCCTCTTCCCTCGGCTCCTGTCGGGGGCCGGGACTTGTCACCTCTTTGATGTCTGCCTGTAGGCAGTGCTCTTTGTTGTGCCTCCTTTCGCTTGCCGATGCTCCTATCTCTCCARCGCTTCTGGAGGGGAATCCCCCACGGACTCAGTGGTCTCACACAACGTGAGCTTAGAAGTCTATAGTGGAATCTGTGGAGAGCGCTTTTTTTAGTGGGGGCACCGTAGAGCTGGGCTGTGTTTAGTAGGAGATGCAAATTAAAGGAGTCCCTGGAAGTGTCAGGTCTCCCTGGAGTCTCGCCACACTGATGTTGTATATCCAGAGGCACACCACTGCATTGTCACTGACATGTGGTCTGTAATATGATAGCCAAGCAGTGTGTCTGAAACTTCAGAGCCAAAGGAAAGGTCTGTTTGTATTCGTGGTGAAGCCTGACCCATTAATCTTTCTCATGCAAATATGSTCGTTGTGGAAGATTCAACCTCTCCCAAGGAAAAGGAAAGTGTCTGCCTTCATTAACGGTATTACCTGCCTCTASTGAATGTGCTTATTCCTTAAGGCGTTTACCCTTTCCAGAGTGTGAATGGGCAATGCGAGGGAGCTGCTGCYCGTAATTAGCGCTGAGGCAGTTGCCCGTAATTATCGCTGATGGCTCCGTCTTTKATGTTCTCGGGCGTGAGTGAATGMGAGGGGGAGGCCRGTGGTGCTGGGTACCGTCCTTTCGCTTACCTTCATCCTTAGTGTTGTTTCTAGATTTTTTATTTCAAAAGCGTTTCCCATGGAAGTTTTTGTAGCGGKSCTGGTAGTTTACATCACATTCTGCAGTTGTGGACGTTGTAATGCGGGGACCTTATTCTTCAGAGACATGCTTTCCAGCGAGACTTAAGGGACTTCCCCTGTTTCTTTGTAACCCAGCAGACACAATCTCCTTTCTAGTAGCTGTTGTGTCCTCCTCTCGTCAGATGCTTGTAACCATTGATATGATTCTGTGTGACCATGCAACACCCTCCCAGTCTCTCTTCTCCAGAATGAACAGGCCCAGGTCCCTCAGACTCTCCTCGCAGAAGAGATGCTGCAGTCTCTTATTCATACCATTGGTCTTCTTGGGCACAAGGGGCACCTTGCTCTGCAGCAAGGCYGCTCCAGTTTCCACTGCTGTCATGGTTTATTTCTCCATAGCTGCAGGACGCTTGCCCTTAATGAAGTCCCCACGGGCCCATCTCTCCAGCGGATTGAGGTCACTCTCAATAGGAACAAAGACAAATGTTGTATCTATTCTATTCTATACTAAGTTTCTGTAGCTTTTGTTCATTTGTTGTAAATTATGAGCTGTGTTTTGATTTCATTTTCTTGAAAATGCATGCTTGGTAAAATCCTTTTTGTTGTTGTTGTTATGTCAAGAGGCCTGGGTGATCATGAGAAGTGCGAAGCCCTGCCTGAGGGATGTGGAGATGTTCAGGAGGACGTGGCCTGTATCATAATATAAAAAGTGGAGAATGCCTGATTGTTGTAAGAAACCATTTTCCCAAAGGAGTATGTCAAGAATGCCTACAGAAAAGGCTGAGTCAAGCAAGTTGTTCCCGGATGCTTGTCAGTGATAGTCTGCAGTTGCAAGAGCCTGGACTAGGAGGTCCTGCTGATCTTGAGAGGGTACTTGGTGTTGAAAAGCACCCTTTTCGTTTAATTGTATGAATCTTCCTGACAAAGAAGTCTTAAAGTATCCCTCTGTTGCTACTAGGTGTTCATGAAGCCATGGAAAGACATCTGGCCTCCACAGCCAATGGAGAGAGAAAACCTATTAAAGGAAGCCCGCATGGACTTCAGAGGTCCTTAACAGAGTTTCAAAAGGGCATTAGGATCTCCAGACTGGAGCCTTGGAGACAGTCCTCTTTCACATACAGGCCTATGAAAGCATCTTGTCTGTCCTGCTGTAGCTGCAAGTGGAAAAGGAGGCATGCAGTCTTCCTTAGGGGAGGGAAAGAGCACTAAAGGGTGGTGCCTCCCGTGTTTAATGTCACCCTTCTGTAAGCTTTTGCTTGGTAGGGTACACTGAGTAGGACTTTCAAATGAAAGATTCCCAGGAGTTGTCAAATATGTGTGGAATCTGTCCACACTGACCATCTCTCAGRCTGGTGTTGTGTCTGAGAAGATGGACCTCTGTGTTGCAGTGTAACTAAGGTGCTGTTTGTGACATTTCCCTGCTGTATTGTATGCTCTTTGACAACCAAGGAGATTCCATGAAAACGCTTAGCTGTGTCACAGTCTCAAACAYGGCCTGCTCCTGTTCGTACTGAAGCATTGGAGATGAATTCTTCCCATGCAAATATGTTCACTGTGTCTGTAGTTCCACTGAGCCTCGAATTTTCCAAGGCTCAAYGGAAATCAAAAAGGAAGTCCTGAGAAGTTTGACCTTGTGTTTACTCATACTCCTTAGTCCCCACCTGTGAGAAGTGGGAGAAAACCACAACTGCTTCCTATGTGGTCTACTGTTTTAACAGATGTGGTTCACAGTTGTTTTGCATCTTTGGTTGTTATCTTGAATGATTTATTCCTTGTGTGTGTGTTCCTGTGTGGGCTTTGTGTGATAGTGCTACAGGCTTCACTCTCTGCAGTTTCCTATGGTCTTATATTCAGGCTTACTATGTTACCAAATGTCATTATGTGAGAATTGGCACACCTCTTGAGCTAAGCTTTGTTGAAGGGAAAAGCTGACACAGTGTGTACTTTTATCCATTGCTTCCATATTACTTGGACTCGGTGGGATGAGTGGAAAATCTCCTGTTCTGTCCAGGAAGAATCAAGAGCTTGAATTATGTTTCAAGAGGTTAAGCTTGTCTTTGCTAAGGCCTTGATTCTATGACACTGCTAACATAATTAGCTCTTTAAAGAGTAGCTGAAGAAGAACAAACGTCAAGGTAAGTTCAACATACAGGAAAGTTTGAGGAGGGGAAAGTATGTTGCTCTGTGATGTGGGGACRTTGGCTGAGGACTTGTGTTCARTCTCCAGCAACACCAGTTAAAGCTYGTCACTCTTGGCTCCTGACTGTGCCYATTAATGTCTCCCGTACTGAGAGGCATGAGAGGTTCCTGCTGTATTTCATGTCACCCTTCTCTAAGCATTTGCTTGGTGGGATACATTGAGTAAGACTTTCAAATGAACGATTCCCTGAAATTGTCAAATCTGTGTCGAGTCCATCCACATTGACCATCTCTCAGGCTGATGTTGTGTCTCAGAAGATAGACTACTGTGTTGCAGTGTAACCAAGGTGTTATTTRTGATATGATTTCGCTGCTGTAACATATGCCCTATGACAACCAAGGAGAYTCCATGAAAACRCTGAGCTGTGTCATAGTGTCAAATGCAGCTTGCTTCTGTTCATGCTGAAGCATGCAAACATGTCCRCAGTGGAAGCCTCGACTTTTTCCAAGGTTCAGTGGAAATCAAGAAGGAAGTCCTGAGAGTTTTTGCATTAACTTGTAGTCATACTCCTTAGTCCCTACCTGAGAGGGGAGGTGAGATGTGGGAGAAAACCACAACTGTTTCCTATATAGTCTACTGTTGTAACAGACATAGTTCACAGTTGGTCTGCATCTTTGGTTGTTATCTTGAAAGATTTATTCCCTGTGTTTTTCCCTGTGTGTGGGGTTTGTGTGACAGTGCTCCCTCTCTGGAGTTTCATATGATCTTATATTCAGGCTTACTATGTCACCCAATGTCATTAAACGGGAACTGGCACACCTCTTAAGGTAGGCTTTATTGTAGGAAAATGCTGACACAGTGTGTACTTTTATCCATTGCTTCCATATTACTTGGACTCAGTGGGATGAGTGGAAAAGCTTCTGTTCTGKCCAGGAAGAATCAAGAGCTTGAATTATGTTTCAAGATGTTAAGCTCTTCTTTGCCTTGATTCCACGACACTGCTAACATAACTAGTTCTTTATAGGGTAACTGCAGAAGAACAAATCTTAAGGTAAGTGCAAGATATGGGAAAGTATATTGCTCTGTGATGTGGGGGGGCATTGGTCCAGGACTTGTGTTCAGTCTCCAGCAACACCTGTGGAAGCTCATCACTCATGGCTCCTGACTGTGCCCATTAATGTCTCCCCTGGTTGTAGGCYTTGTTTGGTTTCTCGAGAGGACAGATAAATATGCTCTGATCATAGCTTGGTGGCTAAGGAAGAGCATGCATGTCCCAGCTGGGATACCATTTCCCCCGCTAGCACCAGACCCTTTCCTTGTTGTAAGCCTGATTTAAGAGATGTTTAAGTATTGATGGGAAGATGCAGACAGTTTTGCAATGCTGGCACTAAGATTTTAGAAAGTTCCAGGTATGTGTTCTAGCAGTGTGCCATGGGCACTGTTCTTCTCCTGTGCGGAAGTGTTTTGAACTCCCGGTTGCAAACTCCTGGCTCTGTAGTTCTATGTGTGGATGCCCTGCCTGGAATTCTAACCTGGGGTAGGAAATGAATCCTTTGCACTTCTTCCTTGTGCAAAAGGAACAACACTAGCTCCCTCRTCTTCCCCTTTTCTTCACCCTTCTCTGAGGATTTCATTGTCAACGTGTGTCCAGAATGATCTCCAGAAGTACTGATTTTCTGACATTCCTAGGACCATCTATATGGACTGTGTGTGAGGCTGACTGGCTGATAAAGGGAGAACGATTTTGTTATAGCCTGTTCCTTGTGATCTAAATTCCTTGCTCTGTGCTATACTTTCCGATGAGGAAGTGGAGTGTATGAAATTGCTGAGACATATGGGCTTTTAGGACCAGCTTTGCAAGAGGAAACAATCTGTGCCTGCATTTGGCAGTGATCATTGAGAAATGATTCTCCTGTGCCTAAATGTGTTGTGCAGGACTCAGTCTTTGTCGTGGATGGAGACTGAAGAAGACTCCAAT